TCTTTCTACCGAATTGACAAAATTCCAGATTGATACCCCATGCCCATTTGGTCATTTCACTTATTTGCATGCCCATTTTGTCATTTCCAATTTCAACAGTCCTTTTTTTGTCATTTTCCCTTTTTTTTATACATTTTTTTAATTCATTTTCTTATTGTTTATCTTTCTCACTTACCCTAAATGTATTTAGGACAAAAAAAAGTATATTCTTACACACACACACACGTTATTTTAATTAATTTTAACTACTTTGATACTCCTCTTGTCCTTAATATAGGATTCAATTCTTGAGTTAATTTTGGTCCTAAATATAAGACCCGTTTATCATATTTATCAATTTTTTCTAAATTACCTCTATAGATATTCCATCAACTATAATCAAGTAAAAGAGAGATGAGGTATTAAGCAAGATTATTATGGTGTTTTAGAAAAAATGTGTCACTTTTCTTATAATTAACTCACTTACCTAACTTTCTTAATCTAATCAGATTAGTTAAATGGGTCTTATATTAAGGATCGGAAGAGTATTATTTGTAGGTGGAATAAAATGAGTTGATATGACAAATAAGTTTAAAATAAATAGCATTATATTGATGCCAATTTTTTGGGTAAAAATATTGATTCCCATTTAATCAAAAAAGAAACAAGAGACACAGAAAACTTATGCCGGAATATGTTATCTCGTTTATTAACCACATATTGAATCGTACACTAGACTTGATGCAGTTTAATTCAATTTGTAATCTTATATATCATTTTGTCGGCGTATTATTTGATTCATTATCATTCTCAATTCATATTATGCCTAAACGAAAAATAATTTCCCAATGAATTGCATTATTTGTAACTTGTGCATGTTGATGAACGATGCCTTTTTATGGCTCTTGTAACTAAGAATAACATGACAACGTGTTTTAAAAAAAAAAGCAAATGGCAAATCTGAGCATATCTGCTAATACAAATCCCACAGAAGCGCGAAAATCTTAGCCTGTTCGCAAATCTGACTATCTGCAAAGAAATAGGATTTAAGAGGTGTTTAACGACTCTTAGAAGTACTTTTAAGAAATTTTTTTGACAAAACAAAACAAACTCATCTATATATTTAATTCATAAACTGTAAAAACACTTTTAAAATCATAATTTGGTTTTCATTTAAACATCTCTCTAAAAAAGACATTCATGAAAAATAAACCTCCTCGGAGGAAAATGTTCACTGGGAAGTAGATGATGATAATAGAATGGAAGGGATCAAAACAGGAGGAGATGACGATAGTGAAAGATGGGAGGCAATAGACGCGACGCCTTTATTGCTTTTAATTAAAAGTAAATTTCATCACCAAACTAAAGAACAACTAAACACATTTTCTTAGTAATATTATCTCTAGTTTTTAATATAAGAGCTGGCTTGATATTATTAATTTAATCCTTAATATAAGACCTTAATTTATTTTGTCTTTTATATTTATTCATTTTTTTCCAATGTAGTATTTATAGTAATTGTAAATGTTAAATGTTTTATTAAGTGGTAATTCTAGCTAATACACATGACTAACAACGACATTTTAGGAAAGAAAGTACATATTTATTACAAATAACTAACTTAACTAATTTTCTCAACTTACTCAAATTGGTTAACTATTACCTTCGGTTCTATTTATAATACCTCATTTGTAGATCATAGGTAATAGTTCTTATACTACATCCATTCTTTAATATAAAAGTTAGTTGACTAATTTGAACAGATTAAGGAAGTTCGTTATAAATAAGTATTATCTTTCCTAAAATATCTTACAAATCAAGTTTATTAGTTACAATTATCATTGTTATACGCACTACTTTGAAAAAAATAAATAAATATGAAAGACAAGGTGGATTGAGATCTTATATTTAAGATCGAAAGAAAAATCAAAAGAGTTTTTATACTACCTCCGGTCCTTAATATAAAACCCTGTTTGAATTTTATTTTGGCCCTAAATATAAGATCCCAATCCACTTTGTCTCTCATATTTATATATATTTTTTCTAAAGTAACATTTTTAATAATGATAGTTCTAGTCAATACATTTTATTAGCAAAGATATTTTAGAAAAAAAACAACGCTTATTTAGGACAAATAACTAACTCAATTTACTTCTTTAATCTCTTCAAATTAGTCAACTGGCTCTTATAATTAGGATCGGAGGTAGTATTAAAAACTGGAAGTAGTATTTAGTAGATAGTCGACTAATGTGGCAACATATCACCACTTCTAAAAAAAAATAAAAAAAATGCTTTGAAATGATCTTTTTTTTTGGTATGGCTCCTGATAAAAATTGGGTGACTAGTAAAAATTCAACTTGGGTTTGTATCAATTTTCCAGAAATACTTTCATGCAAATCAAACAAAATTCTCTGTGAATATTTTATATATTATAAAATTACTCTTAAAAAGCTAATATAAATACTCCCAACAAGTAATGAGCGGGAGATATAATTCCTTTCCTCGAACAAAAATCTTGTTAACGGCTATAATAGTATGTTTGCAAATGTTCATTGGGCGATTGATCAACCGCTGATTACTTTTCCAAACTTGATTCCTCATCGACCTAATGTTCCTGTGCAAAATTTGAAAGAAATGGCACCATTGTGAACAAAACAAAACCATAATTGAAAATCAAATCAAACCGAATTTAATTTCGGTTTTTCAGTTTGGTTATTTTAGTTTTCGGTTACATATTTAGTTTTTATTTTTTAAATAATTCGGTTTTGGTGTTTGGTGCTATTAGTAGAAAAAAAAAATAGTTATAACCGAAAAACCAAAATAAATATATTATATATTTATATTTAATAAATATTATTATAATAAATATATATGTGGGTTTATATGAATTCTTTAAATATATTTATATTCAATAAATATGGTTATAATAAATATTATTATAATAAATCATATTGAATGATGAAATATTTATTAATTAATGGGTATAATTGTGTTTTATTATTATTTTTAATTTAAAATCACTTTTTATATTTATATATTTCGATTAACTGGTTAACTGAATTGAAATATTTCAGTTAGTTCGATTTCAGTTTTGTGTTTAAAATTTGCTTTATTCGGTTATTTGGTTAATTCAGTTACCACTGATAACCGGACCGAAAAACTGAATACTCACTCTTAATTCATTTGATGAATATAATTATATATTACCTTTTATGCTTAATATTCAATTTAATCATAAATATAAGATGATAATATACTTTGTTTTTTATATTTATTTATTTATTTAAAATTAGTCTCTATATTAATTGTACATTTTAAATATTTCATCACATGATAGTAAGAGTATTAAAAATTTTCTTAATCTACTCAAATCAATCTTTTTAAAAAATTAATCTAATTATACACATAAATATTTAAAAAAAATCATGTAACATATATTATAATTAAATAATTTTTTAATTTTATTAATTTTTTGAAATTAGCTAACTGAATCTATACTACCGTTAAAAGGTGGTGTGGTAGCATGTATCGGGTTTGATGCGTACCATGAAACTGGTGTAAAAAAAACCAGCTACGTATCATGAAATGAAACACGTGCGGGGAGCAGGAATCGCTCCCTGTGCGTTCCCGCATCACATCGCTGCCGAAACCGACAAAAGAAGCATGTGACGATGCTTATCGCGCAATCGCCACGAAAAACGACACGGCGGTGATAAAGCATTTTCAACGGCAAGGCTTCATACTTGGGCGAGGTAGACGACGACGGGAGCGGACAAAAGTCGCCGGTTGGTGGTCGAGCCGTACGTAACGCTCTGTGAATCTTGATCGCGTGTAGAAGATATTAAATTGATCGCCATCCTCGAACCCCCATCCTCTAGAATCCCCCAGACGAGAATTCTCGACTCCTTAAAGGTACGCCCTATTCCGTTTGTTCGATCGGAGGTCGATTTTCCTTTCGAATTGAAATCTTGGAGCTGTTGAACCTATGTATGTTGTTTAGGGCAGAATCTTTCAAATTTCATTATGTAAATGTGCTGAAAATGGCGTTTTAAGGGGACGTATGCGTTGTTTCCCGATCTTTTGATTTCATTTATATGTCAATTATGGTGTTCTAGGAGGTTTATTGCCCGGGGGCCCTACGGTTGTTGGGAATACTTTGGTTTATCACTTTTATCTCCTACCCCCAATCCCCAGGGCGATCCTCAAACGAATTAATTCTAGTTTGTATAAATTTCAAATTCTTAATTTTTTTTAATTATGAGCTCTTCTGGTGCATCAATATAATTGATCACTTCGGTGGGACGTTGTTGAAGTATAGATGACTTGATCAGACATCAAAATATTTACTGAATATCATATAATTTCTCTGTTGAATGGGAATTTCTATCCTTTTTCAATAGCTGGTGAGAACATAAAATTATACCTCTTCCTTGCTGCAAATCATACAGGGAGCATTAGTTTTAATTTTTTTTTTTCTCGGTGACAAGCATTAGTTTTAACTTACTCCCATGAGATACCGTGTTTTACTTATAGAAGTAATTTGAATGTTAACCAAACACCTAAAGTAGAATGGTGTAGAACTGTAAATTCATCTAGTGGTGGATAAAGTTCACCTTATCTTTATATCATCGGTGCAAACTATTTTATTTTTCTTTATATTCTGTTTGGTTGCTTGAAAATTTGTTGTTTCCCGGAAGAAATTTATTTGTTTGTGCTGTTGCTTGAGATGAATATACCTTAGTTGAATAAGACAAGCTTGCTGTAATGTCTCCACGGTTATTCAATGCATCCAGAGGGTGGTAGATTGCAATCCTTTTGGACATTGGACTATTTTGTTAACATGTATCTTGCTTATCATATGGATTGGAAAAGTTCTCTATATTGCCAGATAATATTTGAATTTTGGTTGATAATCCTAGATTCTAGGTTACATCACTTAATGTGACATCCTGCTTACCGTTTGCGTGTAGATACTGTATTCTTTTCACCTAGCAATGATTTATTTTGTCAATTTTTATCAGGCCAATGGCATCGTCTTCAGACTCATGGATGAAGGAGTATAATGAAGCCGTGAAACTTGCTGATGATATCAGTGGCATGATTTCTGAACGGAATTCGTTTGCTACATCTGGACCTGAAACCCAGCGCCATGCATCTGCTATAAGAAGGAAGATAACAATATTAGGGACTAGACTTGATAGCTTGCAATCCCTTTTGTCAAAGCTTCCTGGGAAACAGCCTATGTGAGTGTTTAATAATTGATTTTTTTTGTCAGTAAGAATGGGTCTTGCTATCACAGCAGAGAGAGTTCGGTGACTCCAATCCTCTGAACTTTCAATTTTTGAAATTAATGTTTTGAAGAATATTCCTTGTCACAGTGATCTCTTTGCTGGGATGTCTTTAGGGCTATACTCTATTCTGGTACTAACCAAGAGGCCATAGTAAAGGCAGTGCCTTTTTCTTTCCCTAGATCTTAAAGTTTCATTATCTTTATCTGAAGCCTCATTTGATGATGACAGATCTGACAAGGAGCTGAATCGGCGTAAGGACATGATTGCAAATTTGAGGTCAAAAGTTAACCAAATGGCATCAACATTGAATATGTCTGGCTTTGCAAACAGGGATAGTTTGCTTGGACCAGATACAAAACCGGCTGATGCCATGACCAGAACAGTTGGCTTGGATAACGGTGGACTTGTTGGACTTCAACGGCAAATTATGAGCGGTCAGTTAATTTGAATAGTTTGAAAATTCAAATATATTCTAGTTTATACTTTGGATCTTGATTGGAATGTTACTCAATCAGAGCAAGATGAGGGCCTTGAGAAATTGGAGCAGACTGTAACAAGTACAAAACATATTGCACTGGCTGTAAATGAAGAACTGGATTTACACACAAGACTCATTGTATGCTCCCTTTCTCTGCAAATTGTAGATGTGCTTTTCTTCCTACTTTTTGTTGGCCCATCTTTATCTGTGTCTTTAAAATTGAATCCTGTTGACTTCCCTGTCAGGATGACTTGGACCAGCAATGTAGATGTTACAGATTCTCGGCTGCGGGTAACACATACATTTTATTCTATAACTTTATCTGATAAAATAACTTGCAATTTACTCAATATATCCGTACTGATATTGTTTTGTCTTTTGAAAAGTGATAATTCAATATTGTTGAAGTTTTGGTTAAAAAGCATGCCTTTATTGTTCCTTTTGTGGTGTGAAACAGAGGGTGCAGAAGAACTTGGCAGTTTTGAATAAGCGTACGAAGGGTGGTTGCTCCTGCTTGTGTTTGCTTTTAGCAGTTGTTGGTATAGTGGTTTTGGTTGGTGTTATATTTCTGTTGATCAAATTTTTGTAAGGATACTGATTCTGGAGTTGGCAAAAAAAGTAATGATACTGATTCAGGGACTCGATTGCCTTCTCCTCTCACCTATGTGTCTTGTGTGAGTTGTTATACTGTAACTGGGTTTCCTGACTTTTTTTATGAGTGATTTGTCACCGCCTTTGAAGTCGTTGAAGTCTTGGAAGGCTTTGTAAGATAACTATATGCTTACTGGCAGATTCTACTGTTGTGTGCGTGTCTGCTGTCTATCTATTTTGTAATTGTGTGAATGCTTAAGCCTGCACTTGATCACTTGATCACTTGTTCCTAGCCAGAAGGCCCAGACATTAATATTGGTTCCTATCTCAGAACCTGGGATGCCATTTTTCTTTGGACGTAACTCTGGTAGGTTTTCTCTGTTTTTTTTTTTTAAAACTGAACTCTGGTAGATTTTCCTAGAAGGTTTCAATTTAGATTTTAAATGTTATCCTAACGCGTGGTATGGGTAGTTTTTTCCCTCTAAATATTCCCTTTTTTTTTTTGGCCCTTCTAAATATTCCATTGATTCGTTGACTATTGTAAAAATATTTTTCCACATGTCATGGTAACCTTGAATGATGAATCGGAGTAAATTTCTTGCTTCTTTCCGTGGATATGTGCATTGAATGGATTCATTGGCAGCCCCAGGTTGAATCTCTACTTTCCAGCATAATATGAAAGTATACGTTCTTCATTACGGCAATGTAGGATGGATTGCTCTATATTTGGTTTGAGTCTCGTTAAAAGCATTCGAAGTCGTCGATATGGCTGTTTCAAATAATCCCTTAGAAATAATTTTTTTCCAGGGGATTGCTATATATTTCAAATTATTCCTTTTTCTCCTGAAATTATCTATGGGATATTATTTAAAATAAATAATCTTATTAAAATAATGATCATTCAATTAAAATTCATTCTATCTTGAAGTGTTCGTATGTTGCGTAGGGTTAACTTCAACAAACATCAGTGATGAAAAATTTACTGCTCATGTACATGTCAATCGTTTTTAAGACTATTTGGAACCAAAATTGTATGAACCATGCTGGCTTCTTAACATACTCCTCCAATGTATTTTATAAGTACTTATTAACTTTATCTATATTAAAAAAATTAATTAAGAACTAATCAATTCTTATAAAATTTCAGAATGGTCTTTAATAAAATTTATTAATTAGAAGAGATTGCTTAGTTAGTGAACATGTTTAATTAATTAGAAATTTTTAAATCAGGATATTTAGAGAAAAATCGACGTTTTAGGGGGGGAAAAACTACATTACGAAGGGATGTAGTTTTTTTTTTTTTTTGGAGTGAAAAGATGTATTATTAATCAAAAATATTTACAAGAGTTTCATTACAAACAAGGAACGAAACTAGCAAAAGCTTTTATAATCAGCTTGGTTTAATTCTAAGAAGGGATGCAGTTTTTCTTGTAACATCCAAAACTATGGATTTAGAAGTACTTTTTTGCAAAACGAGACAAATTCTTTCATATATTTACTTCGTAAACCGTAAAAATATTTCTAAAATCATGGTTTGGTTTCTATTCAAACACTTCTTTAAACACAACATTTGGCTACAACACCCAAATTCATTGGCATTATTCACTTCTAATTTAAATAATTATTTAAATCTAAATTATATAAAATTTATATAAAGATGTTATAAATAATGTAAGTCACGTTAAGATTCATATAAGTTTCTTCAAAAGTTTTCTGTTCTTTCTTCCCATATTTCATATAACTCCGTATAATTTTATTTCCATCTTGACAGTCTTTAAAAATGAATTTTATAATATTTTTAAAATGTTTAACTATTATTAGCATTTTTATTTGGTGGCCAAAAATTTGTTCTTAACATCTGTAATTAACAATATATTTATCTATTTTTTTTCAAAAAATAATGTTTATTTAAAGTTTCCCTCGCTTTACAGTCCTGATTGTCCTAAACGCATCAAATTCCCTATTTTCCTCTCTCTCTTTCATTTATTTCAACCAACACTGTCCGATTCAGGACGGGAAATGCAGAATGCTTCTAATTGAATCTTGGACAAATATAGCCACTTGATTATTCGATTTTCATTTACTGGAAACCTGAATTATTTATTATGCTAGTGTTCAGCTAGGTTTTTGTTGATTGTTCTGCCAAATCTGTGGAAGGCCTCTGCGACCATTGATTGATTAGCAAAGAAGGTGAATTGAGATGAGTGCCGTTCCGAAAGAGTCAATTGAAGTCATTGCGCAGAGCATTGGCATCCCCAATTTGTCTCCTGATGTCGCCCTCGCTCTCGCTCCCGATGTGGAATATAGGGTTCGCGAAATTATGCAGGTATTAACTATTAAGAAGCAGCTACGATAACGCCCTTGTTTGGGCAAATTTAGATGTAAAATGTGGGCCATCTGAGAGCTGTCATTAAGTAGAAAGTGCTAGTGGATGACAAATCTCTTTGTTCATTCTCATGTATAGGAGTCTATAAAATGCATGCGCCATTCAAAGCGAACTGTTCTTACGTCAGATGATGTGGATAGTGCACTTAAATTAAGAAACCTGGAGGTAAGTTGCTTTACTTTTGCTGTGTCTCTGTTATTAGTGTCAGTTACATGTTAGGAATGGTAACCTCGAATTGAATTTGAAAAGACTATGGATACATTTTAATGGTAGTTCCATGCTTAAATCTTTCTACACGTACGAGCTTTTTTCCCATTATTATCTCTTGGTTTAGTAGGTAGGAGTTCATGGACAACCGGTCAGATTCAGATGGGTTATTTTCTGTTTTGCATCATGTTTGTTATTCAATTCAGCTTATCCAAGCACTCCTCTTTTCCTTGCATAAAAAATTGCTTCTTCTTGTTCTTGTTCTTTTTCTTTTTTACCCGAAACACTTCTCTGGAAATATGCCTTGAGGGAGTTGCGGCGTAGTGGGGATAGAAAAGGAAAAGGAAAAGGAAAGGGAAAGGAACGGCACAACAATGTTACGATCTTGTTCAAAGAAAATGTAAATTTCATTTAAAGACCCTTGATAATAGATGAATAGATAAATCTAACTTAGTCAAAACATGTGAGAGATTCTTACACTTCACATCACTCACACACACACACACATCATATAACTATCAGAAACAAAATCTCAAAAAGCTGCATATGGGAGTTCCGTTAAGTATGTCTCTGAATTTGTTTGACAAGCAGGTACAAGAAGTGTGCTGGAACCAGGAAGTGTTAGAGTAGTTTATAGGATCACACCTTTTCAGTTTAAGATTTTTGATGATGCTTCAGTGCGTGATTGGTATGTGCCGTAGTTCAATGGTAGAGATGTCGTATTACAGTGAATGGCACCGTTGATGCTTTGTAGATTGGTAAAAAATTCTGCAGTGCTGGTCCAAAAATTTTGTGAATTTGACCATGCGTGATAGTCTGTAATCTCCCTTTGAAAATTGGGCTCCAAGAGGCTAGACTTTTGTACAGTTCATGCACATGAACTCACGTCCTTTATGACTGGCTTGGCTTTTGTGAGCTGGGAACCTATTAAGCCGTGGTGGCATATCTACATAAAGATGTCATGTCTCTGCCAGTATAAGCATGTGTGGGCGGTAAATTGTAGAGCATGCTAGGAAAGTTACCATGTGCTTCTCTATTTGGTGTGTTGTGTTTATGTTTAGTGTTTACCCATAAAATCTTTAATGCCAGTTCCAATCTGCTCTCATTATGTTGGAATTGCTGTTTTTCTCATGATACTCTTTTTGGTTTCATTTACTTCTTGCGTTTATTTATCAGCCAATATATGGTTTCACCTCTAATGATCCTCTGCGGTTCAAAAGAGCTGCTGGACACAAGGATTTGTTCTACGTTGATGACAAAGATGTTGAATTTAAGGATGTAAGTATCCACTAAGTATAAGATTCGTGTACTAAAAAGGTCGAGCCACTTTCTGAAATGATTCTCAATCTTGACATTTTTCCCAATTTGAATAGGTGATTGAAGCACCACTGCCAAAAGCACCTCTTGATACGTCAGTTGCCTCTCATTGGCTGGCAATTGAAGGCGTACAGCCTGCAATTCCTGAAAACGCTCCAATTGAAGGTATTTTTATCAACTGAGGTGCAATTAAACTATATGCATGTCCCTAGTGCACCGGATGTAGGTGCATTACCACCTGCCAGCTATATGCTCTTAATTTTTTGCAATGCAAAATTTTGAATTTATAATGTGCATTCTCTTTTAATTGCTACGAGCCATAATAATATGATGGGAAAGTTTGATTTTCCTGTCCATTGTCGTTTCAGTCCTTTGATTTTCCCTTCCATTGTCACTTCAGTCTGTTTTATTGTTACTTGCAGCTCCCTTTGAAACAAGAAAACCCGACTATAAGGAAGATGGACTTCCTGTTGATATTAAATTACCTGTTAAACATGTAATTTCAAGAGAGCTTCAGGTATGCACTAACTATCATACTGCATGCACAGTTTTTTTTTTTTTTTTGGGTTTCATTTTCTTATGGTAAACCTCTATAAACTTTGTTTTCCTCTACAGCTTTACTTCAACAAAATAACTGAGCTGATATTAAACAAGCCAAATACCGTTCTCTTTAATAGAGCATTAATTAGCTTGGCAACAGATTCAGGGCTCCATCCTTTGGTTCCTTATTTCTCATACTTTGTTGCTGATCAGGTACAGTCAAGATTTTATCAATGTTATTGTTTTCTCTTGACCTTGTGCACTACATATCTTGTTTGAAAGCCATCCTTTCGTCAACTTTATCCTTTTTTCCAAATATCATTTCAGGTGGCTCGAAATTCAAATAATTTAAATCTTTTATTTGCTTCGATACGCCTTGTTCGGAGCCTTACGCAAAATCCTCACATACACATAGAGCCCTATGTAAGTATGGTGCTAATTTTGTAACTGCATTTACATCTATAACGTGCTGACTCCAGATGATTATTATCTTCTTTCTTTTGCGTGTGAAACTCTGCTGAGATTGATTAATTATTAGTTACCATGCATAAACCAAACAATTCTACCTTTTTTGGGTCACACATGGATGGCTGTTATACTTTACTAATGCTTTAGCC